ATTTCCGGGGCTGTTACACGAACCACGTGACAGTCTATATCCAAGTGTTTTGTTCTCTTATGGAATACTGGGTTGACAGTTATATGAATTACTGCTTTGTTATTACATTTGAGATCTATAGGTAGAGAATAACATATCTTTAAATCTTGGAGAATATACAAAATTCATTGTAGCTCACAAACTGTCGTTGCCATGGATTTGTACTCTGTTTCTGCTGAGCTTCGATTTGACGGCGGATTATTTTTTTATTTTTTTCCATTATATTGGTGAAGATCCTAAGAATATGGAGTATCCAGCGAGGGATTTTCTGGTTTATGAGCATGTTGCTCAATCTGAATCACAATAAACTGTAATGTTAAAGTCGTTCTCTGCTGGGAAGAATAATCCTAAAGATGGTTCTTGCTTTAAGTACTTGAGAACATGGTATGCTGCTTTCAAGTGGATCACTCTAGGAGCCTGCACATGCTGACTCAACTGTTGGACGACGTATGTCAGGTCTGGGCGAGTAAAACTCAAATATAGGAGTCTGCCTACAATGTTTCTGTATTCTTGAGGGTCATCAAGTAATGGTGATTCCTTTGAATGTAGTTGTTGTCCTCTTGGGAATGAGACAGATTTTGGCTTTGTACCCAAAAGGCTGGTGTCTTTAAGTATATCCAAAACAGATTTTCTTTGATTAACATATATTCCAGTTGTTGTTTTTGTGATTTCTAGATCCAGAAAGTATTTGCAGCCCCTAAGTCTTTAATGGTGAATTTTGCATCTAATGCTATCTTCAGCTTAGAAATATCTGTTTTTGAATTTTCAGTGACGAGTAAATCATCAGCATAGACGAGTAGAGTAATAAAGTGTTGATCTTTTTGATAAGAAAAGAGGCAATGATAATGACTTGATTGATTGTTGAAAGCCGTATTGGATTAGAAAGTGTGATAATTCAGAGTTCCACTGTCTGAATGCTTGCTTTAAGCCATAAAAAATCTTTGAAGCTTGCATACTTTTCCCTTTTTTTGTTATGTCATAGCCTTCTAGAGGTTGCATATACACTTTCTCGTTTAAAAATCCATAGAGAAATGCGTTGTTGGCATCCAGTTGGTGTAGTGATCATTGTGTAACTGCTAAACTGTCATTAGGATTCTGACTGTAACCACTTTTGCTACTGGTGAGAAACTGTCCGATATAGTCTCTTCCTTCTACTTGATGATAACCCTTTGTAACCAACCTTACTTTATATTTTTCTACTATCCCATTTGGTTTCGGCTTCAATTTAAAGACTCATCTACATCCAATTGCTGATTTTCTAGGAGCAGAGCAGTTAAAGTCCATGTTTGATTCTTTTTCAATGCTGTTATTTCAGTTTCCATTGCTTGTATCCACGCATTGAATTGTTTTGCTTCCTTATATTTTGATCTTTCAACATGGTAACATTTGTCAAAAAATTGGAGTGATCGGCATCCAAAATGGAATTGGAGATAAAGGGAAAGGTCTTGGGTATGTATGGTGAAGTTAGAATATTTTTTGTTGATGTTGCACAATTAATAGTGGTTGTTTAATCTTATAACTAGTTGGGTCTTCTTTTCACTCTTGCACTTGCCCATTGAGAGTGAGACTCACCATTTTCTATTCTAGCATCAAGATTGGGATGGCGGACGCCTTCTATTTGCAGCATATCAGAATCTAAAACTTGAGCTTCAGTCGATGTACTTGTATTGGGTAAATCAGTATTGATAATGTCATATGTTTGTTTGGTTGATTATTCGTTGAATAACATAAGCATCCGAATACTTTAAGTCTGCTGTAGTGTAACAGTTTTTGGTGCAGTATTTCATACGGACTTTTCCATTTTAGGATTGTAGAAGGCAGTATGTTTATAATGTATGTGGCATGCAGTATTAATTCTTCTCAGAAAGTCAGTGGTAGTGAGGCTTGGAACAGTACAGCTCGAGCTACTCGCAATAGTTGCCTATGTTTTCGTTCAACTCTTCTACTCTTTCGTGGGGAATAAGGACAAGTGGTGTGATGAATTATACCGAATTCAGTGAAGACATTCTGATCTGTAAAGGCCAAAAACTCTCCTCCATTATAGCTTCTAATTGTTTTGATTTTTGCATCGAACTATTTTCTGATCATTCTGATAAACTTTTCAAGTATCAGGTTGTACTTTATTTTGCATGAGATATGTCAAAGTGCATCTACTTTTATCATCTACAATTGTCAAGAAGTAAGAGGCACCAGAAAAGGATAGTTGATTATAGGGACTCCATACATCCACATGCATTAGTTCAAACAATGTATCGCTATGTCTATCACTACTTTTAAACGACATTCTCGTCTATTTTGCTTTCGCATATTTGTCACATGGTTTAGTTGACCGATCTCTTTTATTATCCTCAAAACGTAATTTTTGCAGCATAAATGAAGAGGGATGCCCCAGCCTTTGATGCCAACATGTCGAGGTATCCATTACGTTACTGATTATTTCATTATTTAATAGATAATCTGAAGCAGAGCCACATGTATGAGCTTCATACTGTCTGATACTTTCTGGTTTGAAGGAGGTGGAATCAAGGCAGTATAGGTTGTCTGCAGACTTGCTGACAGCCACTCTTTTGTTAGTCTTCTGGTCCTGTATTAGGCAAAATTCGGGCAAAAGATGAATGTAACTCCATTAGTTTTGGTAAGCTTGTCGATAGATAATAAATTATGGTGAAAGGAAAATATATATAACACTTCTTTCAGAGTCAACCCATTCTTCAAATTTATATCTCCAGAATATTCGACCTTTAAAATTGTTTCATCTGGTAAATGCACTGAGCTCGGCCTTTTTATTCTACTGAGGCTTTGAAACAAGGAGCTATTTGCACAAATATGACTGATGGCCCATGTATCTATTATCCAACAAGAATTTTTTTAAAATTATATCAGAAGCTATACTAGCAAATTCTTGTGTATATTCCACAAAGTTGTGATCTGCAGTGGACTTTTTCCTTCAGTATCTTCGACAACTCTTCTTGGATAATTTCCCTCATGGACATCTTCATCATACTTCCTTCCTAATTTTTGCGACTGCTTCCCAATTCCTCATTATCAAATGAAGTATCTGCCATGTTGATTTTAGTTTTATATGCAACAAGTCCTTTCTTTTTCTGTCTCATTTCTTTATACTAATTTGGATATCCATGTAGCTTAAAACATGTATCTTTTGTATGTCCATTCTCCTTATAATACGTGCATAATTTTTTTTCCTTCTTGAACGACTCCGTTCTGAAATTGCTTCTGTCTATGCTGATACTCTTTTGTGGGGCAAAGGATGTGGTTAAGGCTGCTGCATTCATCCCTTCAGTAAAATTCCTTGTCACTTGTCTCTGTTTTTCAATATTCATTACCATTGAGTATACCTTGGCAACGTGAGGCAGATGATCAAACAGCAGTATTTGATTTTTAATTTGATGGTATGAGTCACTGAGACCCATGAGGAACTGCATAATTTTTGAGTTTTCATTCAGCCTTAAGACCTGTTCTGAAATGCCACAAGTGCATCTTCCATACGTGCATTGTGGAGTCAGAACGATGTTGTTCAACTCATCCCTCAACCGACAAAGCTTGGTGAGTTATATCATGAGGGAGTCGCTTCCTTAAGAAATAGATCCTAAACTCTCTTTTCACCTAGTATTCTCAGGGTCCATTCAACTCACCAAACCTTTTTTCAAGTTTATCCTGTAGTTCCTGAGCTGAGTTCACAAACAGGAATGCTTCGTGGAATTATTTTGAAAGGGAGTTTAACATCCAAGAAACCACCATGGCATTACTTGCAAACCAATCTTCATATTCTGCTGAATCTTCGGATGAGATTTTTTACTTTACCAGATACAAAGCCTAGTTTATGTTTTGTTGCATTTCGGCTGATTTGCTCCATGTCCGATAGTTCATGTCATTAAATGGGATTGAGACAAATGAAATTCTGGGGTTCTCATTTGACTGATTCATCGCCGAAGTTCTTCCAATCGAAGCGGTATTGTTCTGCGGTTGATTCATCACCTTCTGTCACTGGTACTGCTCTGATACCATAAACAGAAACAAGTTTACTGTACAACTTGTTACAGAAGAGGAAAAAAAGGACGAGAATGAGTTCACAATAAAACTCTGTTATAGACAATAAAATGAATTAACTTTCTTTTCTCTTTATTTATTCACAAAGATTGTTTTTTTTTATTTTATACAGGTTGAAGTTCTTGTATGTCCTGTTTATACATGTATTAAGTCTGTTGTGTTTTATAAACTGATTAATAACTAACTAACTAACTAACCAGCATCGAGTTAGTCCAGCAAACTATTAAACTGATCAACTAAACCAACAGATATGAATCCATTTTCTAAAAGATCCTGATCTTCGAGATTTGATGATTGATTGATTGCGTAATAGCAAAATATATAAAAATATAATTTTTTCCGATTATATTAATATTTTATATTTTATTAATATTAAATTAGTATTAACTAATTAATTTATCTTCTATTTATTATTTATTTGCTTTGTTCAGTTCTTCCCCCGCCCTGCAGGAGGCCCACTTGGCCCATATACAATCCAGCCCATTTTGGGCCCAAATTCCAGACCCAGCTCGAGCTCGACTCTCTCCCATGAACGACGTCGTTCAGGAAAGGGAGGTCGTCACCCCTGATCGAGGCTTGAGGATTTTATTCTTCGCTTCCTTTCTTGGAAAGTAGACAACGAGGTACGTGGGAGAGAGAAATTGAGAGGCAAAGAGAGAGAGAGGAAACCAGGCGGAAAGAAAAAAAACAAAACAAAAAGAGAGAAAAAGAGAGGAAGGGATTCGGGCAAGAAGGCAGAGGCAAACCAAGAAAGAAGGCAACTTGAGAGGGTGACCGAACTGTGCTAATTTAGGGATTTCCTGTCTGGGTCAGTTAGGTAAAATTCTTAAATCCCTATGTTGATTTGTGTAAATGGATTTCCGGTCTTGTGTAAATGTTGATTTGAGTGTACTGTTTGAGTTGAATTTGAGTGAATTTTAGTGCACGATTCGCACGATTCTTCATGTTTCTATATGATAAATGTATGGGAAGTTTATGGTTTTGTGATAGCTTCTTAACTGCAACCTGATTAAGGTTGTAATCTGTGGCATGTTTCTGTTAAATGGAGTAAATTTTTGAATTTGATATTCCCATAATGCATTTTTTGGAATTATGAATCGAAGGAAATGTTTGGGTGCCTATCGTTAACTGTTGTTGGAAGTTGGTAGTGTGAACAGTAGATGGTTTGTCATTTGATACCCCAGCTTAGGGATCAAATTAACGTTTGGGCTTTGTTTTAAAACTTTAAATCCATCCCAATCACCTTTGAATGATCTCGCCCCTTAGATGTAATTTGGTTTAGTTCCATATCCATTCTTTTTGGCCTTCAAATTGGTTCTGGCTCGGGTTTGTCTAGAAGTCCTATTCTGTTTTCCTTTTTTGAGGCTTTTCAAACCTGTTTGGAGTTACTGAATTTATTTTGATTCTTCACCTTGCCGTTTCAGACCTGCTGTCAGATTACCTTTGGGAAGTTCAAAACCTGTTTGGGAGCTCAAATCGTGTTGTTTCCTTTTCCTTTTTTTTTTTTTTTTTAAAATCTGGTTGTGAATTGTTCAAGGGGTTTTTCGATCTGTTCCAGGTCCTTACTTTGATATTACAAGCTTGTTTTAATATTGTAAACTTACTTCAAGTTCCATTTGTTATTTTAACGACAGCTGGCCTTTCCTGGGCCACTGTAGATCTGTTTTGGAATTTTGAGGTGCTTCTTTGTGATTGAAAATGGTGACGGATTTGCTTGCAAATCAGATGCCTGGACATGGTTTTTTCAGCATGACTGTAGGGTTTTATTAGGGACTTCAGTAAACACTTTAATTATTGTTACTAGTCTTTTCTTTTAAACTCAAAAATCTTACACATCAAGATCTTGTTAATCCTTTGATTATGTGACTCAA